ATTGGTAGAATTAATACAGTCCCAGAACTGGGTTCGGGAGCTGCGTACTGCCAAATCATGGACTCGATTTTCGGTGACGTGAGTGAAAAAGGAGTTTTTCGTGCCTGGTTCTTTCGTCTCTTCCCTGGGCGTGGACCTGGACGCTGACCCCCTGCAATACAGGTACCCCTCCGAAGCGTCATATTCCTCGGCAACGACGAATACCAATCCAGGCAGAACTTCCAGATCCTCCAAAACACATTCCGCGCCCATCGAATTGACGAGCGCATCCCCGTTAATGACCTTTCAAAAAGGCGCTTGGCGGATAATCTGCGGTTTCTTCAGTGGATGAGAAGGTAAAAAGATCCATCCTTGCGTTAAGCAGCTGTGCGTGACATAATTCTTACCCTGCCCCAGATTTTGGGAGCACAATTACCCTGGAGGATTTTACGATGCCGTGGGACGCAGACGAGGCAGTGATCTTGGGCAGCTTGAAGCTGGGTCGGCCGCTCCTCCTCCTCCTCCATCGGAGAGTCAAGAGCCGCCACCCGATGACGACTAATCAGTGTATAGTGAAGGGCATTGGACGGGACGTTGATTGGGTTGGTAGTCAGATACTCCAATAAGAAAACCGTCTGGGATACAGCCGAGGTTCCATGCCCACCTTTTTTGTGCGTGGTTGGATCTCGGATGACGGATCGCGAATGACATTCGGGGGCAGCTGTGATTACCTCATCCTTTCTCGCCTGTTTCTTCCGTGCCTGCATTGTGAATGGTGGCAGACGGAGCGGACTTACACCCTCAAGCTTTCTTCTGCGGCAATGGAAAAAGTCCATGGCGCGGAATATCATGGCCGATATCAGGTGGGGACGATGGAACGGTCCAGTCAACACTAGGGCTCCCGCTTCACCTTTTTTCGCCGCTAAGTAATATGTTATGCGAACAATACCTCAATGAGGAATAAATGCTGGCGGCCTGACAGGGACAAAAAATGCAAATACACATGGCATGGACGATGAGAGGGTGGGCCGAAGGGTGTGGAACTTAGCCATCGCGATTTTCGGTTGTCTGGATACCCTGTTGCAGGTTTGATCTTTTGCGCAGTCCATTGGTAGGGTGTTTGCGTCGATGAACCCCAACCGCGGAATCCAATGTGCCAGCGCTCCCAGCTACGCATGTTATTCGTTCTCGCACCATACCTTTTGTGCCGCACCAGTTAGAGTTCATGTTGTAAGGGAGATTTCCACAGTGGATCACCTCAATTGCACTTCCGGTTTGGCGAAATACGCGTCTCTCCAAACAAGTAGGGCACTATAAAGTGCGGTCCCGTTTTGATTACTTCACATATTGCTTTTAAATACCGGACGAACACATGATGGCTCTCGATTGAGCGGGCTTGGAAAGTGTTTAGCATCCAAATTTCGTTCGAAGGCAGAAATGAAAACGGACAGTCTACATCAATACAACTAAAAATGAAATCAAGGAAAAAATGGCAACAATTTGAAAGCGGTTCTGCGCTTTCTATAAGCAATCTTTTTAAGCTCCGTACTAGGACATGCCTCCCGATTACTCATGCCGCAGCTTTAGCCCTTTTGCATGTACATAATCCCATCGAAGCCGGCATTGAAGCCTGGTCCTCGTCATGACATGACAAGAAACCTTAGCCCATTTTCTTCCAAACTTTGCGAACGCCTCTGCTAGGAGTTTATCCTCCTCTGGCATCCACCATCCAGTTTTCCGATTTGAATCAAGAACAGTTTCGCAGTGATCACTGATGCGATGTGGATCTTTTCCAAGTTTTCTCGCTAGCTCCACCCAACAAGGTCTACCTTGAGACTGGGCAATTGCAGCAATGAGCATTTCATTTTGTCGGTGCGTGAAAGGGCCCAGATATATGTTCATTTTCAACTGCAATGCTTTCTTGTATGCCGCATGCCTCGTCCGCCCCAGCATATGTGCGATAGCAGCCCAATCTGGCGGCCTTCCACCATTCCTCGCTTCATCAATAGCAAGCTTTAGCAAGGAAACATCTGCCATACTCCATTTCCCATGTTTGACGGCGACGTTCAGTTCCTTGATGAGGGCGTAGCGATCTGCAGCGCCCCCCGAACTCCGACCCGGAAGCTGTTTGCTAATTTCCCTGAAGGTGAGTCTTCCGTCCTCCTTCAACTTCAAAAGAAGCGCGTCTTCTTCAGTGCTCCAAGGATTCACTCTGCGAATAACCAGTGGGATATGCTGTCGCTGCACGAGTGGCACGAGTGATTGACTTCGTTGCAGTCCATTGAGGGAACTTTGCGGGCGCCAGATGGTAGACGAGGAGTGGAATGAAATACGCCCGTAACATTGGAGAATTGAAATAGGTTGCTTTTTCAAAAGTTTCTGTGGGATCATCATCGTTTTGCAAAGTTTTGTGTGGGATAGGGGATGATGCGTGCGCAGTTTTCTCCTGGATACCCGACTGAATGTGGCGCAGACAACGCAGCGAAGTCACCGCGGCGGACAAGCTGAGGTGGGTTGGTTCGGAATCCGGAATCCCTAATCCCTCAACGACACCTCCACCGACATTTTCCCACCAAGATGGACAGCAACTTAATTGCGGGATACTTCAAAGTCAAACGAGCGATTGACTCCATCAGCTGCTTCTCCCAAAATGGTTGGGAGGTGGACCTCGGCGACACAGTCTCAGACTTTGCCAACGCCTTGACCGTCCTCCAAAGCCCCTTCTCCTGTTCAGGCGACTCCAGAGGGCGATATTCACAACTGAATAATCTTATCATCAAAGTGGACGGGGTGGACTGTGGGACCGTGGGAAACGTTAATGTTGAAAAATTGAAAAGTTTGGCTTCGCCGTCCCCGTTTGGTAGAGGCGCAGAAACGGTTGTGGACGAGACCGTCAGGAAGGGGTTGGAGATTAAAGCGGACAGAATCAAGATCCGCAGTCCACACAGTTCTTCTAACCGGTAAGCCATTTGCACAAGATTGTGGTCTTTTTGATACCCTGGAGTTGACGTGTCTGTTATTTACACAGCTGGATGCCGAAGCTCAAAGGTCTTTTTACACACGAGGTCAATTCTATTTTGTGTCCGACCGGTCGGGAGTACGAAGCCAAACTCCACAAGCTCTGTCTCTACGAGCCGGGCGGGTTCTTCGACTCCCATGTCGACACCATGCACGATCAGACTCACCATGCCACCGCTCTCATCTGTCTTCCGCATCCGCACGAAGGCGGGGTGCTCGAGGTTCAGTCTGGGAACACTGTGAAACAGCTATCTTTTGCACCCGAGCAAGATGAAGCGGGTGCACCATTGCTCAAATGGGCGGCGTTCTATACAGATTGTACGCACCGTGTTGGTACAGTCACCAGCGGAACGCGGGTGATGTTGCAGTATGATCTGCACGCAAAAGAGGTCACCGATTATAGTGAGTGCGAAATCTTTGACAGCTATGGACGGAACAGACATCCATCTCCTCCTGACTTGAATACGGTGAGGAGCTGGGAATTGTCGGGATCCGGTTCTGTGCTTACATACTGATAATTTTCATCACTAGGCTGCCCTTGCGAAACTCGAATCATTGCTTCACGAATGGTTTGCTGGGAACGATCCCACCCGCATCGCATTCCTCCTGCGTCATCGCTACCACAGTTCGGCGGCGGTGCCATCCATGCTTAAGAAAGTCGACGCGCTGCTGTACACGTCACTCCTACCAACCTTCAACATCCACCTCACACCGATCATTATTCACCATCAAGGATGCGATGACGGAGGCGAGGAGGATCCACCGACCATCCGTGCCTACCCGCTTGACCTCCGGGTGAACGACAGTGGATCTGAGGACTCCGAGAAGGACTCTGAGGAGGACTCTGAGGATGAGGACGATGAGATGAACTTTGAGCCCCAGGTTCCAAATGGCTCAAAGTCGGGCCCCACTCCACCGGAAACGGTATTGGTTCCTGCGTCGAAAAGCGCCAGGATCGAGCTGGTCAAGAGTCAGGAGTACGTTGAACATACTGGGAATGAGGTGCAGGTGGCTGAACATATGTATTATGCTGTTGCGTTGGTTGTGGAGGGGGTGAAGGGGATGGGGGAGACCGCTGCGCGGTGAACTGGGTGCCGGAGAGTTGAAATGCTCGTGTGCCGGACTTTATATCAAATTTCATGGTTAAGTTTGTACAATTGATTTGAAAACGGGAATGTCAATGAAAACTTTTTAACCACGTCAGGAATATCGGTCATCGTAGTTGGAGAGTGACGAAAGTTTTCTAGTACCATCTTGATATGCGGGCACGCCGATCTGAAGCTGAAGCAAAAAGAAGCAAAAAGACAACGTCAAGTCTCTGAGCCGGTGCTATAGCATAATGTCAAAACTGTAGCGCGTTCCCCATGAGAGCGGAGTGAACAGAAAACACACGGTTCCTATTTCGCATAGTTGTCAAGCCCTCTCTGCATTCCCCTCACAGCTCGAACTACTCATACCAGCGTGGCTTGGACTGCCCACCGAGGGGTATCCCATGGTTCGTAGGGACGCCTCCAGTTCCCACAGAAACCTTGATTGCTCCATCTGAACTCCGTCCGTGTTGGTTTCCGAGTCTTTCACTTAATTTCGATTTTTACCTTCCGGGCTTATGATGTGGGTATAACGTGCGCAGTCAGAATCAAAAGGTGAACGACCGATGGAAAACGGGGACGACGCATACTGTGATCTGTAATCTATCGCACATTTTTGCACACCACTGGATGACCATGTGGTGGGATTTGCCATTGAACAGTAATCATACACGAACGGTTCATGATCACTTCTCTCTTTCTACTATTCTCCTTTTTTTCAATTCTCCCCGAAACAATCGGCAAATACTCGCGCAAACACCGATCTCGCCAGGTCTAAACCGATCCTTGAATAATCGATTGATGGCCATGCGGCTAAAAAAAACCGCTCAGACTCGGCCGAGAGCCTCTCTCGCGCATTCCCCACGCAAAGTGCCAAAAAACGGAAAAGAGGAGCACCTCTCAACAAACTCGTAGTGGGTGCTGTGAGATTCGAACTCACGCATCTTGCGATACTACGAAACTCTTGGCCAGAACAGACCGCCTGAACGTAGCGCCTTAAACCACTCGGCCAAACACCCATATAGACGGATTTACCAGTATGGTTACAACATATGGGGACAGTGAAATGCGGGGTGAACGAACGCCAGCCGAACGTTACATTGCAAGAAACCCCGTGGCTTCGAGCGGAGTGGGGTCAAAAGAACAATAAGGCATTCAACGAAGGGTCTTGGATAGCACTCCATATGAGCAAAGTAACCAGCGTCAAAGGAACCAAAAGCCCGCCGGGGCGTATTGGTGTGTTTGGATACCCACATTGCAGGTCGTGCCAATTCCGATAGTTTTGCTGGCGTTTTTATTTTACTGGAACCTGAATATGGTCGGCAAACTGGGGTGACTCCTCAAGTTCTCCCAAGTTTTGGTGGTTAAACCCTGACGTAAAAATAAAGTGGCCGGTCCTGCCCGGTGCGCGCTCGTCGCCCGACATATGCCGTGGTCCCGCAAAGCATGGGGCCTTCTTTTGAAATTTCAGAGAGCGCCATTGATGCAAAGCGGATGCAGAAACCTGAGCGAAGGTCGAATGTGTATTTCTTAGTCAGGGAAATACTTCGAACGGTTCCGGGTGGTGCAAAGTGAATGAATATGGGAACCTGAGCAGCAAAGTTCGACTGCGTCCTTTCTGATCACCTTACCACGGCGGCGGCATGCTCCAGTTTGCGCAAACATGGTCGGAAAAAAGTTAGCGAAATGCGATGCTACCTAGGGTTGAGACCTTCGGTCTTCAAACCCTGACCGGTCGGATGACCGGATACGATGTTGCGCGTTGAGTGCCATTATTGCCATGATGCCAAATTTTTGCGGGCCACACAGCACCTAGGAAACAGCATCAGAAAAAAATAGGGGAAAACTGTGTCGTATTTGTGAACACGCCAGATTATGACGCGAAAGTACCCGTTTCCTATGTTAACATTGAGCTCTCAATCAGTTGTGAAGATTAGCAGCACCGGTGGGGTATTCTCTTTCGAGCAACCTCGATTCGTTCGCTGTTTCTGCTGGGTGGGACCGGCATCGAAAATGCAGCCGAATATAAAGCAAGACGCTAGAACGGAAAGAATGACCCAGGCCAGCACGGTTTGGCCAGAATGTGCCGACAAAAAAAGCCAATTCCATAACGTCAAGTGACATTCCGCGTTGAAAAACTCGGGCCATGACTCGACGACACGAATGCAGTGTGCCCGCGTCCATTGACAAATTGGCTGCGCTTAAGGGCATGCGCGGACTCCTGCTATCTACAAGCCGGGAATCGGATGACTGAAACAAACCAATATCAATCTCTCGAAACCTACAGCTGGTTCATTTCCCATTTTCAAGTCTCGGTCCCAAGCAGGCGATGCCCGCGCGCACAGTTCATGTGATCACGAACAGGCAACGATGGGGTATAGAGCCGGTTGGGAACGGGGTTGGCACTCGAAAATGGTGGTTCCCGTGTGTGGAAAGTTTCTTTGTATGCGAAACGGCAGGACAGACGTCAGATCGTAAATACAAGCAACAGGTATCCAGGCGCACTCGGCGTGCGTGTCGTAAACGAACGGATTTTTCTAGCTACATAGACTAAACTTTGATACTACTGCTATTCTGGCCGGTTGCAAACCACTGGGCCGCCTAACGAGATCGCTTCCACCAAAAACGGACCTTTCCGGAATCCCGTTCGCCTTCCTAAACTCGTACCCATCTTGAATGACGGGAACCGGTTGCTGTTCCTTAGCAGGTGAAACTTCAGGCGAGCAAGCTGCCCCAGCAGTTCTGACAATGATGCATCATCATCGCTGGCAAAACACGGCTCGCCAATAACTAGTACATCAGAATCACATCCCACACAAAAACGGCCATGCATGGAATATCTCTTTTCCTTGAGACGCCAATATCGGTGTAGGACATCTTTTGGTTGGATGTGTAAAACGAGATCGGGTTCATAGGCTGGCCCACAGGCGTCACGTGGACGCTTTCAAACTTCCGCAGCGCTGTTGAAAAAGTCAGAAGTTCCGAGGCACAAAAAAGAAGAACGGGGTGTTTGACCGTGGCAATTCAACGGGCTGGACGGGGAGAGCCCACGCGAGGTGTATCCAGTGACCGCGATGTTTCCTTAGACTGAATATCTAGTCGTCTTTATGCCTCCACCCGGAACGTCCCCTGACCTCCACCGTATCGAGAGATTCCAAAACCGAGACAGATTTCCGTCGTTGGAAATACTATCCCGCACGTTCGAACCTTCCCATCACGGGAAGTGCCTCGATAGTATGCGTCCTTTGTAGCGTCCGAGCTTATAAAGACGATTGAAGCGACAGAAGGATCGTTCTCTTCACATTCTACCGAAACTCCGTCCTCTCGTTTACAGACCGGTACCTGTTCGGGTGAAACGGCCGGAAGTTTGTGCGTATGATATGACCGGTGCCCGACTAGGCGCGCGGCGCGACGGGGACGGTATAGAGGTTTCTGCCAGTTTTTTTTTTAAATTGAACCCTAAAAAGTGGTAAACGCCGAGTAAAATCCCACTAATCCCACTTGTCCCACTTGTGGGACGAGGCTCTCACGGTGTTCCCTCGCACCGTTTTCTTGTCATTTCTTACTTCCCGACATACCGCTCCCCTGCCCTCATAACAGTCTAGTACAAAATATTGCAGTAAAGCTCCGAACTGGAAAAAAAAGCGCACAACGAGGAGGCCGTACTTTCACCCATTTCAAAAATCGTCCCGTCGACGATTAATGGAAAAGCAGTTTACATGTCTGCGTCCTTCCATTCAATGGTCGACGAAGGGAAGTTCCACTCAGCACCGTGCAAATACATCTTGGAAATATCTTGTTAGCTCGTTCTCTTTGTGGAATAGGGGCCTGCCCGTCCGCGACAGGTACTATATGTTAGTGTGTTTTGAGCGTCCCTGACTGCGCGCATGGCGCAGGATGGCGTGTGCGGCTCTTCTACCGGAACTGAGGTTGTTTCCGTTTGGTACTTGACGTTGTGTTTTGCGTAAAAGCTCGGAGTGGTAAAAAAAGTTTCGGTTGGACGTCGACCACTACCCAGTTTGGAAGGACTCGTTGACTTCGAGAGAGGGCTGTGGGGATGGAAATTAACACTGGGCCCTTTTGTGTTGGAGAAACTCGCCAGCAGAAGCGGAGTATTGTACATGGCTGGTCACCAATCCCAGTAAATCGCGACGGGACCGCCTGAACGAAAAAAAACGAGTCGAGGAAGCTGTTGTCATAAACACGTTTTGGAGTCCGTTGGCCAGCGTATCCCAGAAACGTCCAGTTCGGATGGCAGCAATGTTTGCTGATATCAAGGAAAGCCAAATGGAATAGGAAAGTACCAGACAACTCCGAAAAGGTTAAACGTCGTCGTGGCGCCCGCCGATGTGCGCAACAGTCTGGAAAAAGAGCAAACGAACTTTCAGTGGACTCCAGCACCCGCCAAGAACCGAAAGGACGAGGCGGAATGAAATATTTGCGCGGAACGTACTGTCCAGACTGATCTCCTTGGTTAATAAAATATATGTCTGGTTTTGCATTCTTGACTGGGGTTTTCAGAGACCTGTTCCCTTTCGTCATAGACGTTGTACATGACTGGGTACCGTGGGGCACAACTGCACATGGTGCCGGGTGCTGGGCAACCTCAACCGATTATTTGGCCTTGCAGGCAGGCAGGCAACCGCGTCGGCAGGGCGGGGTTGCTCTCCTATTCAGTTTCCAGTGCCGTTGCATACGTTTACGAAGGGATTCTCTTACGTTATGTGCGTAAGAAAACCCCCCACCCCGACTCCTTCCACCCCGACTCCTTCCACCAAAACCAGAATGTATATGACAGCACTGATTCAGCGCGGTACATGCACGGTTCAACCCGCACACACAAAAAAACAAAAAAGTGTGATATCTCCCGCCTCGTCAAATTCGGCTCAGAACGGTTCGCGTGGTTTGTAAGCCCTTTGAGTTACGACGAACATAAGCTTTGCCCTGTTGTACCGAGGTTTAGACATTTAGCGCCGTTCAGAGCACAGGCCAGCAATTCATGGGTGTCAATACGCGCGAAAAACATGAAGAGAGAAACGCAGAGTTAATACTGACCGCCGGGGTTGGACCCAAGGGGGCATTTGGTACAGGAGGCCCCTCTATCCAGAGAAGGAACATTGGCTCTGAAAGGTGATTGACCGAGGCACAAGCCGATAGCCCAGGAGTACCACCGAGTGTACGATAAAGGGAGAAACCCTCACCGTCCCCAAACTTTGATTTTCGTTTCTCTAAAAAGAAACATTTATTAGCAAGCATTTCACCCATATGCCCCGTCGAAAGCCGTGGACGAGAATACTCAACGAACCACGACCAAAAAAAAATGGACAAAACATCGGGATACCCCAGTGACGAATCGAAATGTCCAAGGGCGGTCGCACTTGCTCTAAATAGCTTAAACCCAACCGTTGGGCCAAAGCCGTGTTCCAAATTTGGGAGCAAACCGCAGATTGACAGTATGCTCAAAAACGTTGTTGAGGTCCTGTTGCTGTAAGGGTATAAAAGGGCGGAAATTGCACGACTCCACCAATCCGGCGATTTGGATACGTGTATTCTGGCATAGCCTTTTGAGAGACGGAGACAGAAATGTCCGGTGGATCTTCGTTTACGCAACATCACCCTGACCACCACTATATGTTTAAAAGACATTGTATAAAAATTCCAATGACAGGACAGAACTGGACTTGGAGTTTTAGAACCCCTTTCACGTCGCGCGCCTGAACCAGACACAAACGAAACTGACTCGTCATAAATGTTAGGTTCACCAAAGTGCAGGCTTCGAGTGGTACATCCGAAGACAGAAGGAAGATCCAAAAAAAGGAGTAATAAATTTTCTCGAGGAATGATAGAGTTTCGTAAGAAGCACTTATCATTCGCAAACACAACCACACACGGTTTATATCATTATAACCCCCACGCAAGAAAAAAAAAACAAAGAGGTGTGGTCATCCATTTGCCACCCTACGCCGTGACTGAAGGGTGATCTACCAACCATAGCCCCCGTGTTGCTCTCACACGCCCC